TTTACTCGTCCGTTCATTCATTCATTCAATCATTGATTCATTCGTCTATCTCCATTTTTTTGCTGTCTTCCTCTTGATTATTATTATTGTTCACTAACAGATGAGATTGTTTCTGAGCAAGGTTTTCTTTTTTTGTTTTGTTTCTCTGCTGTCAGGTATTATGAATTCTTTCTTTTGTTATTTTATTGTGTGTGTGCATATTTTTTCGAAGTAAATTAAGATTGCGGGACATCACGAAAAAATATATCCATGCTTGATATCCTCGACTGTATTCAAGCTTCAACAAGCTCCCTAGCCCAAATGACATGTTTAGAAAAGTAAAAATAAATGATAGTATGCTAAATAATAGGCAGTCATTGGCTGAACAACGGAAAACTCAGCGAGGCGTTTGGAGTAAACACAGGAGTCAGACAAAGGTGTTTATTATCACCAATGAATGATATTCCTAATTGTGGTGGACTGACTGGATTATGCGTCAGACAGTGAGTGGGAAACGAGAAGACAGGGATATCCTGGACCGACCGACGTGAAGAACCTAGAAGACCTGGATTTCGCGCGTGGATGATGTATGACTGATGTCACACAAAATCGAAGAATTACAAGTGAAAACCGACCGACAAACTGATCGAAGAAGCAGCCGCCAAAAACAGGACTCCAGGTGAACATTAACAAGACAGAGGTTATGAAAATAACCAACCAACCAACAACAACAATAGCAACAGCAAAATCCACAGCATATCACCATCAACCAGAGGGATTTGAAAGAGATTAGTTACTTCATTCACTCACTTATCTAGCATTGAGCATTGTCTCAACTACAGGAAGTCAAAACGGACGAGGATGTCAAATCGAGTGAGAATCGGGAAGGCGAGTGTGAAACACATTCATCAACCTGAAACCAATCTGGAAGGAAATCTTCGTCACTCAGCCAGCATCAACAACAAAATTCAGTCGGATTTTCAATACAAAGTTGGTCAAGTCAGTCAGTTCTTCTATACGGATGAGAAACTTGGCGGGTGGGTCACAAAGAATATTTACAACCAACAGCCTGTAGCCATGCAAACCTTTATTAACCAGCAACTGTCTTCGCTGGACATATACTAAACATCAGATGACCGGGTCGTAACGAATCACCAGCAAGAAAGTATGGGAAGAAACAAACGAAACAAAAACCAATCGCCCAGCAGATATGCAGGAGAAAGTGGAGATGGATGGATTGTACAGTGGGTGGCTGAGAAGGTTGGGCCGCTGAGTGACATCGCGCGCGCGTCAGGCGATTGCTGGAGTGGAACCAGGCCGAAAGGGCAGTACGCGGCGAGAGGGACGTCAGTGTAAGGGTGGGTGGAAGGGAGGAGATTGTGTGAAGAGGCGTTGGTTGAAACAGTATGGAGTAACATGGATGCAGGTGAAAAGTAGAGCAGAATGCAGAAGTGGCAAGTGGAGACTTGTAGTTGAAGCCGTATGTTCAACTAGGAAACCGAGGGAACAATAATAATAATAAATTATGGCTGAACACAAGTTTAAATACACCACGGATACTACGTTGCATTTTGGTTGCCTGCTCAAATTAGTGGGCTGTCCTCTCTCCTATCAAAATGCTTCATATGTATATATATGTATATATTTACTGCGGTTCATATTGTTTTGACCATCTAACAGCGTTCATGAGAGGTGACTGACTCCTACGCACATTTTGAAAAGGGATTTCAGCCAGCTGCTATGAAAATTTTTAAGGAGATGAAAGAATAACATCATAGAGAAATAGAGCATGCTTTATTTGGATGGAATATTATTGCTTCCACTGATTCATTATTGATTACTCTTATGCTTCAAGGAGATCCTTACACAAGAAGTAGAAGATCTTGCCATAAAACAAGCTGGAAATTCTCTACCACGCTCAAGACGAGCATTTCCATTTAGATGTGAAAATAAGAGGAAACAGTTTAGCGACAAGTATGTTTTTCAAAAGAATTGATACTGAACAAAGAGTACGCTTTTCGACAACTCCTTCATCATCAGGCTCTACAGATATATATATATATATATATATATATATATATATATGCATTATAGTGAATGAATGAATGAATTAGTGTTATGAACAACATTACTGTTGCTGTTTAAATAACATCGAATCAATAATACTGACAGATTACAGCTAAATAGCATCAACATAACAATAAGCTGAATACCAGTTGAATTAGGAAAGATAATATTACAAATCCATGAATTTATCATCTCAACTGAAGGCTGCTCAGAGCAGCAGTAGGGGTTGACTGAACTTGCTTCTTTTGGACACAGAGCACTGGTTGTTTGAGGCGAATTGCGATAGCCTCTGCTGTTTTGAGCGTGCGGTGATTCGATATCTTTTTCAATTTGTTTGGTCGGTACCTGGTATGTGATATAGAAGGATTCCTCCATGCTGGCTTTGTGGCCAGTGTGCACCAGATGGTCCAGTATCGAACTTTTGACATTGGTTTTCTCTACACCTTTACTTAGCCATAGAAGGAGTTGTTCTAAAGTGAGCACAAAAAATCAAGTTCCTAGAGCAACGGTCAATATAATTCGCTCCACTTCAAGTGCAGTTGAATTGGTAGATACAATTTGAAGTGACCAGCTCGTTTTAGGTTCTTTATCTTTCAGTCGAGGTAGCACCAACTGTCGTGTAGAGAATAATACGTGTAGTTCGCCAGCATTAAAAGTTCTTTGTACTGATTTTATTAATTTCCACATAATTATCTCACTTGGTATATCGATGACCCTTGAATTGTAGTCGTATATAAAGTGGCCTCTTGTTTACAGATAGTGAGTAGTCCTTTTCCGCTTTCTTTGTCATGTGTTTCTTGATAAATTTTTCGGGATAGCTATTTTCGATCAAAGTATTATATACAATGCTTAATTCATCTTCAATTACTTCTTCTGAGCATATAGCTATAACTCTGTGGCTGGGGGTCTTCACTAAGTCTTTTTTGTACTTGATAGGAACGAAGCTGTGTGAAAATGTGTATATTTTCCTGTCCAAGTACCTTTTCTATGCAAATTTCTTTTTATGCTACCATCTGGTTTTCTTGTAAGTAGTTGGTGAATTTATTCACTGAGCTTTACAATCACCCATTAATTTATAATGAATCTTGTGTGCGCGTGTGTGAGCATACATAGCACAGGAGTAAAAATTGATTTAGTGGTACTAGTTACATCATCAGAATATTTCAAAACACTGATGAATATTCAAAATTGTAACCAAGCGGTGAAGATTAGTAGGTTTAGAGTGAAGTAACGCGATACCAAAAAAACGCACTGTAAACTTGGGTGGTAATATTCAATATTAAATATTAATTATGTAATAGATGAAGAGAGTAAACAGATGGTTAGTTGAGAAAAGGCACAAAATCGTATTATATTATTATTATTTCCCTTAATTCCTAGAGGAACATAGGGCGTCAGCCGTGCGTCTCCATTGTGTTCGGTTCTCTTCACCTGGCTACATGTCTGCCCACACGCTTTCATCTCCTCTTCACATGACCTCCCTTGCACTGACGACAAACTCGCCGGTTCCCGTTCGGCTTGTCTAGTGATGTCACTCACTTGGTGGTTTGTTTTCTCAGAGTATGGCCAATCTAATCCACCTGCATTTCTTTCTGCATATTTGTTGCACAATCAGTTCCTGCTGGGTTGGTTCGCTCATTGCCAGAGATCCCTGTTGCTGATCTTTTCTGGCTGGCCATCTGCTCTTGAGTATTGAGCGAAGACAGTTGTTGGTGAATGTCTGTAGTTTGTCTGAGGTTCTCTTCATGACGCGCCAAGTCTCTGATCCGTATAGTAGCACTGACTTCACATTGGAGTTGAAAATCCGGATCTTATTTTCATTTTCATGCTGAGTGCTGTTGACGTCCACACAGATTTGAGAGTAATGAAAGCTTGTCTTGCTTTCTCGATCCTTGCTTTGATATACTCGTCAGTTCCGTCCGCATTTAGTTGAAACGACGCTTCCTAGGTAAATAAATGAGGTGGCTTCTTTCAGATTTCTCTCATTTATGCCAACTAATTGTTATCTGTTGTTGCTGTTGCTGTTGGTGTTGCCCAGGAATTTTCATCCAAAAATCGTATTATTAACGAAATACTTGAGCTTAGAATTATACTCCTGGTAGAAAAAGGGAATGGAAAAGTTTCTTCTGGTTTGCATAAATCAGGGATACACATTTGAGTCATTCAGGCCTCAGCAGCGCAAAGTATAAAGGAGCATACTTTTTTTGATAGGTTTCTTTCTTTAGACTTTGTAGATGTCTTTGAATGAAATTTCCTTGCATATTATTAAGTGGTCACTGTGGAATATATGTTCAATTAGTGGCACTCTTTACTGATCCATTGTTACCCTTCTATAGCCAATTAGGATAATGTTCTTTGACTGTCTTTAGATAAAACATGCATTGAAAGACCTGTATATTTCTATCCTCATACGGGGGAGGGGGGAAGCTAAGTTAACAGACAAACATAGAAGCGGTCAGATGCAATAGTTTATCTGTAGAGTTATTGCAGAACATGGGGCGGCGAAGATGATGTTGTGCTTCAGGGCGTCTGATATTCTCTTGTGTAGTATATCAGACAAAAGGTAACATATGAATGCCACATTTATGTATAGCATGTTTTTCGTTAGCGAGATATGGTTTTCCATTTTGGAAGTTTCCCAGAAGAGACCGTTTGCTGAACTGTTTTTTTTGCTTATTTTCATGTCTGCATTGGTGTTTTTTTTGTGTCGAAGTCGGAACGTAATGAAAGGAAGAAAAATTGCCGTAAAAAGGCATTTATACGGCGGCAAGATTATATCCCCCTAACCAAGACCGATTTGGCCTCTAAATAACATGTTTCTCTAATATCGTTTAACTGTCTATTCAAGACTAGTGAAATATATTTGAACGGTTTCATTTGTATTCTGTGGTTAAATTTTTTTTCCGTAACAGTCATGATCGTAAACACAGATTTTAATTCTTTTTCGTTTATAGACTGCACTATCATGAAAATGATGAACTGTGGACTTACAATAAATTCTATGATTGGTAAGTATTTTATCTGTTTATTATACGCATATATATTATATATATATATGTGCTGATCTGAAGGTCAGTAAGCCCACCTCATATTCCTGAGGTCCTGGATTTGATCCCTGGTGGGATCCTAGGTTCATACTGTCGGAAAATCCCACTGATTCTCTAACTAAAGTCGGCTCGTGGTGAAATTTAAAACTCTGCCTCTTGCCTCAGCATATTATTCCAATTGATCTCATCCACGTCTTAGATGTTTTGGTAGTTTTAGTAATGGGGATAGTTAATAAATTCAATAATTTTTATTCAGTTATTGGTTTGTAGGGATTTGGTTGATTGGTTACAGGATTTCATCATGAGTTGATAACAGTAAGAGAACCATTGGGAAACCAGCTGGGAGTACTGGACAGCCATGTGTTTCGTCTCAATTTGGGACTCTTCAGGAGTATGCACACACCGCCTCGGTTGGAACATTGAACCTTCTGGTTACGAGGCGAGCTCGTAGACCATTGAGCCACTGGGACCTGATTCAATGGCCAGTCCATGAATCCCAACTTCTGCCAATTCACGACATAGCGCGACCACTAGCCGATGTCTTCGGTGAGTATTCGTCTTTACACCCGACCTACTGCACCCTACTGGTGATGACTTCCCACTGGAACCCCAGGTAACTACCTACCTGAATAGGGCAAGTCGCCAGTGAGCATCTCAGTGATATTCAAGTATTGGTAATTTTTCTTGATGAAGTTAATAATTGGAGTATTATAGATGTCATTTCTATTCTGTTCCTCAAATACGTGAAAGTTTTAGTGTATTTAATTTTCTATCAGCATACTTAGCATTTCATATGGCTCTAGATTTTAGAGACCAAATACCAGAAAATATTTCTGTTAGGAAGAGGAAAAACACATGCAATTATCGAGTTATTATCATGTCATTGACATGCATTTGTTTCTGCTTTCTGATTGGACGCTTGCACAATTCCAAACTCTCAACCGGATTGGTTGATTTCCAGTCTACCTTATTTTTGTATAAATGCAGTCACTTTTGTCATGAATAAAGGATTCTAGTTTTACCGCTGATTATCGCGTGTTCTGCTTTACCAGTTAAGTAGGCACTAGTCAGTAGTTAAGCAGTTACCTCGAGACAAAGATCCAGCATCATAACAATTTCTTATTACAACAACACAGTTATATCATTTAATTGACTTGTGTTCTGTTTGGAACGCGAGGGAAGCTTCAGCTGGGCACCATAATTCTACTTTCTTCCCTACACCTCCTTCATCAACTTGAGTAAGCTCTCACCTCCTCCTTCTCACACGATATCCTCTACATCACCCTCTGACGCTCCAGTGGTCATTTCATCCCACCCGAGTTCCATTCGGTGTTTGCTCAGGTATGTGATGTCTCTCAATGGACACTTCAGTGTCCTTCTGCATATTTGTAAGGCAATAGGTTCTCAGATTCTTCATTGCTTTCCATAGTTGCTTTTTGCTTATTCTTTCCGGTAGGTGAGCCATCTGATCTTCAGTATGCAGCGAAGCCAGCTGCTAATGCAGGTTTGCGGCTTAATAAAAATGTTCTTGGTGACTGACTTGACATTATTGTTGAAGATCCGGAACTTGTTCCGTAAGCTCAGTGCAGTAGATCTCATGCCTGCTTGTTTTTATGATCCAACTCTCGCTTTAATATCTCCACCTGGCCCACCTGCAGTTTAAACGGTGCTACCCGGGTAGACAAAAGTGGAACAGGTAACATTATTTGGATTTGTTCTGTTGATACTGGCTGATGTTTGTTGTTATTAGTCAGGTATTTTTTGTCACTTCTTTCTTCTCTGTGTTCATCAGAAGCTTTATTTTCCCTGCCTTTTCTACCAAGTTTTCGGTTTTCACCTTTACACCTTCGGCTTTGTTGTGTAGCGACAACGTCCGCAAAGTCTGAATCTTTTAATCTTCCTGTTAGACCAAAGGAAATCCTGTCTTCTCGCTCATTACTAACCTGTTACGTGAACCAGTCCATCACAATTTAGCAGATTACCCGTGTTAGTAGTCCTTCTCGTCTTACGCCTGTAATCTTTTCTAAGGTATCATTGAATTTTTCCATTTTCCAGTCACTTGGCATGTTGTATTATTATTATGATATAACTTGTGAATGAGGTTGGTAAATAGCACTGTCGAAACTAAATATAACTATAGATATCTATGAAAAAACGCTCGAAGGACTAAACTGCATATTACTGCCTACTCATCGCCTCTCTTCGTAAATGTAATTGGATCTGAAATAATCGGCAAATAAAAAAATAATTCCGGTAGTTCATAAAGTAAAAGAGTTGATCATGGATTGATATCAGTTAGAGAACCATTGAAAACGAACCACCGAAAGTACTGGACAGCCACTGTTTCATGCCAGTTTGAGAATCATCGGCAGGAAGCACTCACCACCCAGGTTCGAACTCAGGACCTTCCGGTTACAAGTCAAGCTCGTATATCATTCAGCCACTGGCACTCAATTCAATAACCAAAGCATGAATTCCAACTTCTACCAATTCGTGATTTAGCGAGACTACCAACCAATGTCATTGGTCAGACATCCATCCCCAGTGAGTGCGTACTGCCAACGATTATCAAAACCAGGATAAAATAGCTGTCCAGTACTCCAATGCTGGTTTTCAATAGTTCTCTAACTGATATCGATTCATGATCAACTCGCAGATACAAGACTAACCCTCACAAACCAAACTATAGAAGAAGAAAAAAAGATTTATGCACAAGGAAAAGTGTTCTCACAGATGTGGTTATTCTACTATATGCTCTTGAAAGGACAAGTTGAACACTACGGATAATTTCCACACATTTTTTAATGTTTTTGGTTGATTTTTTTTAATCAGTTCATTGGAGTACAGCATTTCAAAGCGTTTTTGTTAACATAAAGGCTGAAAAATAAGTAGACATTATTTACCGTCTATATTACTTAAGGCTTATTTAAGTGACATACGAGTAAGTAGAGAATCAGTATACTTTTAACATAACTTTCTTGTCCAGGAAAATGTCTATAATAGATGCAGAGATTGTTATATATATATATATATATATGAAGATATTTGATCACTTCAGTGTATCTGTGGGCATATGTGTGTGTGTAAATATGTGTTTCTTTTTTTTGATTTTTTTTTTGATTTACAGCTTGATTCCATACTGTATTTTTGGTACAAGTACGGAATTTTCAGCATGGATATCGGTAGCCCAAATTTTGCAGGCCGACCATAGATATCAGGTGTGCGCCGGCGTGGGCTCGAACCCCGGACCATGTGCATGGTCGGCGAGAATCCTAACCACTGTGCCACCGACGCATCACATTAACTTAATCAGTTCACTCGTTTACCAACAATGATTTCGTTTATTATTATTATTATTCTCACTAAATTTGTCGACAATTACACAAAAGTGAAAAGAATACATCATAACGATGACGGTGATAATAATAATAACAACAAAAATTCCATATATTTATTTGGTTTTTCCATTAGTCTTATTACTGGTGTTATTATTATGTAATGAAGGTTTGTTAGACCAGGTAGGGGGGACTGCATATATATATGTATATACTGCATGCAGTTTATACTTTGATTGCACGCTACGTAGTATCATGAGACTAGTCCATTGTTTGCTGCAGCACTGGGTGACGCGGGTTCAATTCTCAGAGGCGACATTAGTTCATTCAAGGTTGGAGATACACCTTGCTAACAGGTTAGTGCCAACTAGCACGAAACCTAGGTCAGGCGTGGCTTCCTGTGACCGATTGCCTCCAACTGTCTAATATCATCAAGAAGACTGAATTTCTATCCATCAAATGTGTAGTGTGTCCACCATGTGCACTGTGAACTGTGGTAGCGTCTCTGTAGCACTGAATGACACGGGTTCGAATTTCAACAGAGACATCAGTTCCTTCAAGACTGCAGATACGTGCTGATGCTGACTGATGATTGCGAAAATAAAAAAAGGAACCTAGGTTCAAGATATATTTTTGATTTCTTCTAACCATCCATTCCTTTTCTTTTCGAGTGGAATAGAGATCTTCAGATTTATTATTATTATTTCCTCTAATTCCTAGAGGAACATAGGGCTTCAGCCGCGCATCTCCATTGCGTTCCATTCTCTGCTAAATTTTTCACCTGGCTCCAGGTCTGCCCACATGCTTTCATCTCCTCTTCAAATGACCTCCTCCAAGTCACCCTTGCATTGACGATCGACTCGCCGCTTCGCTTTCGGCCGGGTTTCACTCGAGCGATGGCTTGTCTAATGATGTCACTTGATGGTTTCCTCAGGGTATAGCCAATTTTTTCCTACCTGTTTGTTGCACAATCGGTTCCCACTGGGTTGGTTTTCTCCTAGAGATCCCTGTTGCTGATCTTTTCTGGTCAGCCATCTGATCCTGTTGATGAAGGTGTGTAGTTTGTTTGGGGTGCTCTTCATGACGCGCCAAGTCTCTGATCCGCATAGTAGCACTGACTTCACATTGGAGTTGAAAATCCGGATCTCATCTCCATTTTCATGTAGAGTGATGTTGATCTCTCTCCACACAGACTTGAGAGTGATGAAAGCTTGTCTTGCTTTCTTGATCCTTGCTGCTATGATATCCTCGTCAGTTCCGTCCGCCTTTAGTTGAAACTATGCTTCTCAGGTAGGTAAAGGAGGTTGTTTCTTTCAGGTCCCTGCCATTTATGCTGATTGTTGTCTGTTGTTGTTACTGTTAGTATTGGCCAAGAATATTCATCATCTCTGTTTTATCTATGTTCACCTGATGCCCTAACTTCTCTGGATGCGTCTTCTGCCAACTTGTTGTTTTTCGCTTGTATATCTTCTAGTTTGTGGGAAATCGGACATATATCATCGGTTTTCACCTTTTGCACCTTCGGCTTTGTGTTGCAAAAACGTTTGCAAAGTCTGAATCCATTAATCTCCTTATTAGTCCAAAGTGAATCCTGTCTTCTCGCTCCTTATTGGTCTGTTACATGAT